CCACCCATCCACCCATCCATCCACCCACCCACCCATCCATCCATCCACCCACCCACCCAGCCATCCATCCATCCATCCATCCATCCACCCACCTACCCATCCATCTATCCATCTTTTCAGATCTATCCACCTATCTTTCCTATCTATCTCCTTATCTCTCCAATCATCTGGCAGAGGAAGACTCAGATACAAAAGCATTTAGAAAAAAAGAACTCTTCTTTCAAAGAAGGTTAGCTAGGGAGTCTAACTTTAGAAAGATTAACTCATCAATGAAAACAGACAACAGTTATTTAAAGGAAAAAACTCACAAGGTTACCAAGGTTACTGAGTCCACAGCCTATGATAGAGAAACGGTAATTTTCTCACGTGGTTATTATACTTGCCAGGCCATTACTTGTCTTCAGACATCAGCATTGAAAAAATAAGGGCTGAAGTTGCTTTTGTTAGGGAACCAGTAACTTACAGGACATGCTCAAGGGTTCTTTTATTTTGAAAGCTAGAACCAGAGTGGATTACACTGGAGTTTGATTGTTTGTTTGTTTGTCTGTCTGGTACTAAGCGCTTCCTCCAGGCCCCGGCCGACCTTGGAATGTTGTGTGCATGTCTGTTTATCCACTGATCCATCTCTCCATCCATCCACTCTCTGTCCTTCTATCCATCCGTCCAGATCTGCTACCATCTTATATATCCATCTCTCCAGGTCTTCTTCTCTTTCAGCACTTGCCTCTCTGCTTTTGCCCCTCAAACTTGTTATCTTGCCTGGAGTCTCCATCCCGGTAACACCCCAGCTGTTCTGTGGCTCTGGCCTCACCTCTGTGTTTCCCCCGCCACCACCACCAGGTGAATGGTCTCCAAGTGGATCTCCCAGTCGAGGTGTTAACATCTGTGTCCGTGAGTCAGAATCCCGATGGCTCCGTGCTAGTCCATCAGAATGCAGGAGTCCGAGTGTGGCTTGGCACTGATGGGCAGCTGGCTGTGATGGTCAGCGATGAGCATGCTGGGAAACTGTGTGGGGCCTGCGGAAACTTTGATGGGGACCAGACCAATGACTCCCAGGGGAAGATAACACTGGAGAGCTGGAGAGCGCAGGACTTCTCACCATGGTAAGGGGTGTAGCATGGAAGCCAGGCTGCTTGGGGCAGGGTCACCTGGGTCCTCGTGGGAAGGGGGCAGTCAGGGTGGGTGCTCAGTCTGCAAGAGGAAATGCTAAGTGTCTGACTCTTGCAGTCACAACTGATCAGTCATCCACTGGGAATGAAGACTTCAAGACCTGATCCCCCTGGAGGCTGCAATAACTGAAGGATGCACTATGTCACTGTGTGTCCCTACTCTGCTCTACCCCTTGGCTGAGCCACTGAGGCCAACTGTGAGAGCACTGAATAAATATCTTAAGCTAAGCAATGTGCCAATGTGTTTGTCTTATGCCTTCTCATCCCTGACTTTCCTTCCTGCATAGCAGGTGTCATATGTCTGAGGAATCTGGCACATGATGAGTATTTATTAGTGGGTGAGAGGATGGATGGATGGATGGATGGATGGATGGATGGATGGATGGATGGATGGATGGTTGGATGGATGATTGGATGGATGGATGGATGGATGGATGGATGGATGGATGGATGGATGGATAGAGACATAGATGGGTGGATTGAGAGAGGGATGGGTGGGGAAATGGGAAGATAGGGAAATGGATGATTAGAAGCATGGATGGATGAGAAGATGAACTATTGGTTGGAGGGAAGGAGTAGAAAATGGAAAGAGAGATCAGTAGATTCTAGCTTTATCATTTATAACCCTAGCAAGTTAATTTCTCTGTCACTCAGTTTCCTCATATATCTTAGTCCATTTGGGCTGCTGTGACAAAATACCATAGCCTGGCTGGCTTATAAACAACAGAAATTTATTTCTCAAAGTTCTGGAGACTGGGAAGTCCAAGATCAAGCCACCAAGGTTCTCTGGTGAGAGGCTGCTTCCTGGTTCATAGATAGCTGTGTTATGTGCCCTCACGTGGCAGAAGGACAAGGATGTTCTCTGGGACCTCTTTCAAGGGCGCTAATCTCATTCATGGAGGCTCCACCCTCATGATGTAATCACCTCCCAAATACCTCAAAATACCATCCAGGTATCATCACATTGGGGATTAGGTTCCAACATATGAATTTTAAGGGGACACCAACATTCAGTCAATAGCATCATATTTAGAGTTAATGACCAGACCTACCTCATGGAGTTGGAGTGAGGATTGGAGTGTTCATCCAATCCTCAAGTCAAAAATTGACTTCCAAACCTGTCCCCGCCCTTCCCATGATGGTCTTTCCCATCTCAGTGAATAGCACTACCAGTACTCAGTCTAGCAGCCAGAAAATGGGGAATTCTTCTTGATTCACCTCTCCCCTTTGCCTTTCATTCAGTTCATCAACGAATCCCGTTGGATTATTATGAAAACATACCTAAGCTCTGCCTGCCCTTCTTATCCTGCTCACGTTCGCACCTGGTGCAGCTGTCATCCTCTCTCATGTCGATGACACCAGTAGCCTACTATCTACTCTTCCCCTCCTGTGATCCATCCTCACCACCACTAGACGACTCTTCCTAACGTATAAATAGGACTATTAGCTGTAAATTTCTCTTATAATAAAATCAAATTCCTTCACCTTGTCCGACAAGGCCCCTGCCAACCTCTTCTGACTCATCTCCTATCCCTGTCCTTCCTGCCAGTTAGGATTTGGGAAACTGATCTTTCAGCTTTCAACTGTGTTGAACCTGCCAGGTTTTCCCATTTCAGTCCTTTGCCGTATGATGTTCCCTGCATTCATTACGTGACTAGCTGCTTCTCATCCTTCAAATGTTAGCTTTCATGTTACTACCTTAGAGAGGCCTTCCACGACCACCTCACTTAAAGTGGGTTCCCTCTGTTACCCTCTATCCCAGACCCTTGCTTGCTTTCCTCCTCCCTTCGTAGCATTTATTACACTTTAAAATTACTTTCATTTGACTTTCTGCCCAATTAGAAGTAACTCAAGAGCAGAGACTGTATCTGCCTCATTCACCACTTTATCCCCAGCACCTAGCAAAGAGTAGATGCTCAGTACATATTTGTTGATTGAGTAAATGACCAACAACAAACTTAGAGGAAAGATTTGCAACATACCTAATGAAGGATTAATATCCACCATATGCAAAGAGCTCCTTCAAATCAATAAGAAAAAGACAACAGCCCAATTAGAAAAAATGGGTTGAGGATATAAACAGACAATTGACAGAAAAACAAATCTAAATATGTTAAATGCATTCAGTATGTCAAGTTATTCATGTACGGTATTTCTGAGCTTCACAACAACCCTGCAAAATGAGTATAGATATAAAGAAATAGGCTTAATGAGGATAAATAACTTGCCCAGGAGCAAACAGCTTGTAATGATGGAGGCTAGATTTGAATCCAGGTACGTCTGTCACCAAAGCCAGTCTCTTCCCCTGATTCTTGCTGTTGAGTCGCACCCAGGCTCAATTTCCTTTCAAGAAAAAGAATCGAGAGGTCCTAAAAATAGAGAAGAAAAAGCAAGAATCCAATAGAAAAATAGGCAAAAGATCTGACTATTTCATAGAAAAAGAGATACAAATGGCACTTAAATATAAGAAATGCTTAATCCTGCCCATAGTAAGAGAAATGCAAATTAAACTACCCCAAGACACCACTTTTCACCTATCAGATAGGCAAAAATACAAAAACTCGACAATATAATTTATTGACAAGGCTCTGAGGAAGAGAATACTTTTGTATGTTACCAGTGGGGATGCAAAATTTATAAATCCAATGCAGGGAAATTTGGCAGTATCTGGCAAAATTACCAGCAGTATTGACCCAGCAGTCTCTCTACTAGGAATCTAACCCAAAGATACAATGGCAGTAAAAGGATGTAAGCCCAAGGCTGTTCATTGCAGCGCTCTTCATAATGGACAAGTTTGGAACAACTCAGTTGTCTGTCAGTAGGGGACTGGTTGAATAGACTATGGTTCATCTACATGATGGACAACTATGCAGATGAATGAAAAATACCAAAGCTCTCTATACACTGTTTTGGAGGGATCTCCAGGATATATTATGAAGTGAAGAAAGCAAAGTTAGAACCGTGTACATAATAAAAGAGAGCTACGAGGAGAGGCACAAGGGCGCTTGTGGGGTACTGGTAATGTTCTATTTGTTGACCTGGGTGGTGGTTAGGTGGATTGTTCCCTTTGTGATTAACTCATAAACCTGCACAGTTACATACATTTTTCTGTAGGTGTGTTGTACTTCCAAAAAACCGTTTAAAAAATGAATTATACTCTCTGAAGATTCTTAGCCAAAAAATGAGTGTGTGTGTGTGTGTGTGTCTGTGTTTGTGTGTGTGAGAGAGAGAGAGACAGAGAGAGAGACAGAGAACAATCAAATGAGGGGAACTTGTTTGGACTCTGATTTGAACAAGCAGCAATTTTTAAAAATCACATTTTTAGACCATTGAGTAAATATAAATATGGACGTGTTATTAGATTATATAAAGGACTCCTTGTTAATTTTGTTAAGTGTAATAATGTAAGAAAACATCCTCTTCTCTTTTCTTGAGATACATACTCTTCTCTTTTCTTGAAATACATACTTAAGTATATGAAAGTGAAATGGCATAATATTGAGATTTGCTTTAAAATACTCTAGCAGGAAAAAAAAAGTGGGGCCATACATAAGGCTGACAAAGTGTTGACAGTCATTGAGGCTGGGTGAGGAGTAAATGGAGTTTCCTATATTCTCTACTTTTGGATTTAAATTTTTGTTATAAATTTTTTTAAATTAATCAAGTCGTAAAGGTCTCAGTCATAACAGCCTCTGAAGAGTTCTGCATACTTGGTCCTAATCTGGTTTTTCACTGAAAGGTATTTGCAACACTAGCCCTCATGACCCCGCCGTGGCCATTCCTTCATTCATTCAACAAATGTGTTTGAGCACCTGCTGTACGTTAAATTTGAGATGTCTTGTGTTAAGCTGAAAAATGCTCCAGAAAGACCAACCACGTGATTAGAGGGTTGGAACTTTCAGCACCACCACCCCCACCTCTGGGAAGGGGAGGTAGACTGGAGATTGAGTTAATCATCAATGGTTAACCATTTAATCAATCATGCCTTTGTAATGAAAGATCCATAAAAATCCTAAGCAATTGGGTTTGGAGAGCTTCTGGGTTGGTGAACACGTTGAAGTGCTCAGAAGCTGGCGCGCCCAGAGAAGGAAAGGTAGCTCCGCGCTGCTTCCCCCATTCCTTGCCCTTCGCATCTCTTCCATTTGGCTGTTCCTGAGTTGTATCCTTTTTCCTGAATCTTATAAGCTGTTCCAGCAAATTGTTGAACAGAGGAAGGGGTCGTGGGCTCTCCTGATTTATAGCCAGAAGTATGGGTGGCCTGGACTTGCCATTGGTGTCTGAAGTGGGGGCAGTCTTGTGGGGCTGAGCCCTTAACCTGTGGGGTCTGCGCTAACTCCGGGTAGTGTCCAAATTGAACTAAATTGTAGGACGCCAGTTGGAGTCTGCAGAGAATTGGAGAATTGCTTGGTGGGGTAAACTCATGCATTTGGTGTCAGAAGTGAAGTGTGTAAGTACAGAAACACTTTTCTTATACAGCATATGAAGTAACAGGGACAGTTGGATGGCAGATATGGCGATGGGAGGATATTCAAGTTTTCTTGTGATTGCTTCTATCTTCTCATTCAAGTGGGAAGCAAAGTCATCATCTAAGAGTAAGAAAGGAGGAGAAGGTTCTGAGGTTTAATGAGAAAGGAGAAAGTGTAAAATAATCCTTCAAGCAAGTCCAACCACTTTGGAAAATAGTGTGTCAGTTTCTTAAAAAGGTAAACATACTCTTACCATATGACTCAGCCATTTGACTCCTAGGACTCTTCTCAAGAAAAATGAAATCACATGTCCACACAAATATTAACACATGAACGTTCATGGCAGCATTATTCATAATAATCAAAAACTGGAAACAAATCAAATGCCCATCAATAGATGAATGGATAAACAAAATGTGGTGTATCCATACAATGGAATCCTCAGCAATAAAAAGGAATGAATGACTGATACATGCAACAACATGGAACATGATGCTAAGCGACAAAAGCCAGACACCAAAGACTACATATTGTATGATTCCATTTGTATGAAATGGGATAATGGAATTGTTCTGAAACTGGATCGCGGTGATGGTCGCACGACTGTATGAGTTTACTAAAATTCGTTAACTGTGCACTTAAAACAGGTGGATTTTATGGTATGTAAATTATGCCTTAACAAAGCATTTAAAAGTTAACACATGTTACCAATACTACCAATTGGGAAAAAAATAAAATGGGAGACTGAGTGGATGAGGGACATGTG